AACTCCCAACCCGTCACCTGCCTTTCAAGTTTCACTCGAAAACTATTTTCGTTTACGATGTTACTGGAGTATCGTTTAGCGTAAGTTAGTTCTATATCCATTTTCTCCGCTTGTGTTGGCAGTAGATAATGGATTTGGCACGACGGCTTCATGACCCTCGTGGTTTCTAGAAGGTAACTGCTCTCGGATGGCTACAGCCAGTCCTTGTAAGTGCTTGTGCATGTCTGAAGAATAAAGATGCGCATTTTTACCTTAGTGTTACTTCCTCTTTTCTGAGTGCTGTAGATAACCATACCAAATTCAAAGTAGTGGGAAAGAGCCCGCCTTGCTTTCCCGCCTCCAGCTAACTTCGACACAACAATCCATGGCGCTTGAGTTGAAACGAGGCCATTCAGCTACACTTGATAAGGACAGCTTCCTTTAGATTTCTTCCATTAACAGCAACTGGTACTTTTTGTTGTTCTGTCGATCTTAACCGCCTCCATTTTCTCTACATTCGGTAGTCTCATCCTCTTTAGCCAACAGCTTCACCTGTATGCCTTGAGAATAGGGCTTAGATCTTTATCTTGAAAAAGATAATAATGAACGCCTTGACAGATCATGCTTCTACCTCTAAATATATACTATTCGCCCAGCCTATTGTTGAGATGCGACCATGTGGGATGTGCACAGATTTATGGGGCATCTTATAAATTAACTTGCTGTCCATTGACTGATCTTTAAATACCACTTCACAATGTCTTATCTCATTCATTTTCCAATAACGTCTTTACTTGATCCTCATTATATCCCATTAAACCTAACATTTTACAGCTCTTTATGACTTATTATATTCCTACTCTCTGAAGGGTACGGTTGTACATTAAATGCACAAAAAGGTATAAAATAAAAACAACTGGCACAACTGAGGATAAATGTATTAAAACCAAAAGTGGACACCATGATAGTACGAGATATAGGTGTGGCATTATACATTGCAAATGAACGTTGTCAGCCTAGGGAGTTTCCTTTATTAATGCATTTATTAACGATACTTGCATTTACCTATTTCATTACAATTTAATGATTCACCTCAGCACTTTTACTTTTCTAAAACAGCTTTCAATCCTTTGTAAACGTTGTACTTACCTCAATTTTGGTTGGTTATCGTATGCCGACAACCACGGGATGAAAACGAAACGAAGTCGATTTTCCCGCTCAACCTGGAGGACAATTGTACAATTCAATAACTATGCAGCCTAGTTCAGACAATGTGTATTTATATAAATATCAAATATTTAACTGTTGAAACATTATTAACTTGTAGACAATCTACGATTTGATATTATATCATACTTGATCGTGCCTGTAAAAATGGCATGCATTTTCATGTAAATTTATATGTTTATATGAGAATATACATTATTATTATTAGAATAAGACGGCTTGACACAAAACCCCTGTGAAATTCAGTAATAATAAGTGCTATCAAATTTGACGGCAAATTGAAGCCACAATGAACTACGAGAGGTGGTTCTTGTCGGGATGTTATTTTGTTTTATGGCGACAAGTTGCAGAATCTAGAGTGAGTGCTAAGTCCTTTCAGAGACTCGTCATCTGGATGAACCCACATTTACAGTAAGTGGTGGTTTAGAGGCTAAGGGTATTGACGTTTAGGGATAATGCCATGTATAATAACGTAAGATCTAATATCCACAAATTCTATAGTATTCGTAGACCAAAGGCAAAGCAAAACACTAGCTTGATTAGCCATATAATGAATTTCAATATAGAAAATATCCCCATTTAGACATTTAGAAAAGAGAAAGATTGAGCGAAGAAATATTTACTTTTCAATTAGATCCTCATCTCTGGATCTACTCTAATATATATAGCATTTTAGTTACAATACACAACAATTTACCAATCAAGTGGCGATATGTTTGTTAACAATAATTAGTCGGTGTCAAAATGTCAATGGGGTGATAATTAACGAAGAAAAATTAACATGTATAATTAAAAGGTGGAAATGGTTACAACACGTGGATTGCATGATGCATAACTTTGGAAAAATGAAGAGCGATTAAGGAATAAGCGTATGCACAGGTTGATTACGTAACAGATTGTTAAAGAAAATAAAACAATTTGGACAATCATAATTTGTAACTAAAGTTGAAGTGGTCATTAGAATAAAATAATTTTTACAAGGATAACACGTAATTAAAGATGAAGTAGTCAGAAAAATAAAATAATTTGGACAATTATAGTTTTCAAAAAGAAAAATTATTCTAGGGGGAGGGCGATGGAGTAGTCCGGTTTATACAGTCATGTAACGATGGCCAAGGTAAGGAAAGTGGCTGTACAAATTTCTTCTGAACACACAAGTTTGGCTTCTTCAGGTGGATTCCTATTGCTTCAGCTGTATGTAGAAGACGAACTCGTAAAGCAAAATTAAGATTAGTAGGAATGCGATAAATAATTTTAAATGCAGTATTAACATCAACCTTATGCTCACTATCTACAAGGTGGGCTAAAATAGAGCTACGAATAGATTTTGTTTGTCCCTTGCTTAACCATGCCGGATGATGTTCGGAAATACGATGATGAACCTGCCTAATTGTTCGCCCGATGTAGCTGGCTCCGCAGCTGCAGTCAAACTGGTAGATACACATAGAAGAGGCGAATTTAGGTAGTTTATCCTTATTACTCGAACGTAGGATAGGTGTGGTTGTGAAGAGACAGCGTACCTCTGCTGCATAATAAGCTCTTTTAACTGCATTCTTCAGTCGTTGTGTTATTATTTCGCTGATGTTGTCGCCGAGGAACTGAAGTTTTATGAACAGTGGTTTTTTCGGAACTGTTGCCATAGTCACTGTCCTAGGTGATGAATTCATATTTTTCTCAATAAACTTATCTGGATAACCATTTTTTCTAAGTAATTCTCTAATAATCTTAAGCTCCTCATTGAAGCAGTCGTCTGAACAGATTAACCTAGCTCTATGAACCAGACACTTTACCAGGTTGCGTTTATATTTCAAAGGTACAAAACTCAAAAAATGAGTGTACTGTCCTGTTGTAGTAGGTTTCCTGTACACACTCCTTCTTAGTGTGCCATCTTCTTTCCTTGCCATGAAGACGTCTAGGAATGAGATACAGTCATTACTTTCTTTCTCTATAGTAAAGTTTATTGCTGAATGGGCATCATTAAACTTGTCAAGGATGTTCATTGCGTCGTCCTCGTTTTTTATGACCAGAAATGTATCATCCATATATCGACAGTAGAAATCCAAGTCACTAATTACTCCTTTCAGTGGTCCATTCTCTAACTTAGCGAGGAAAAAATCAGCTAGGATTGGGCCTAATGGGGAACCCATAGCTACACCATCAATTTGTCTGTAATATTCCTTATTGAATAAGAAATGAACGTTCATTGTACATCTTAAAATAAGTTCCTTCAAGGTGGATACAGAAATGCCGATGTCTATGTTTCGTGTAGTAATCTCCTCACATATAAAATCCACTGTCTCCATTAACGGTACGTTGGTGAACAAGGAGGATACATCAAAAGATATCATAAACTTGTCCTTCACATTAAGATCTCTTATTTTTCCAACAAATTCAAAACTGCCATTTACGCTATGTTTTACCAACTCATTATGCAGAGGTTTCAGGAGCTTGACTAACCATTTTGCTGTGGCATGGTATGGGGAATTACACATATCTAACACTGGTCGAAGTGGTAAACCAATTTTGTGCACTTTTGGAAGTCCATATAATCTTGGTGTAATCGTGCCAGTAGGCTTTAGAGATTCATATAAACCTTCTATGATGCTACTTTGTTGTTTAAGTCTTTTTAGTGACTCGATTAGCTGTTTCTCTACTTTTTCTGTTGGATCGACGGAAGACGTGATTTTTTGAAATTTTCGATGATCACTGAGTATTCCATTCATCTTATCTATGTATTCAGTCTTATTCGTTGTTACTACTCCAGAGCCTTTATCGGGTTTCGAAATTATTATATTCTCATTATTTCGGAGCTTATCTAGGGCTTCCTTGTGTTTCTTGGTCAATAAGCTATTCTGTCTCCGTTTACTATTTATATATTTATAACAACAGTCGACGAGCGTTGATTTAAGACTTTCAACTGCCTCAGCTGACGAGGGTGTCAATCCTTCAGTTTGTGCATAAAAGTTTTCAAACTGGACTTGCCCATCCATCTTATTAATTCTAACGTGATTATCACAAAACTTAGTGCCTATGGATAATACTTGCAAATCAGCGTCATCAAGAACAATATCAGAAAAATTATAAACATACCGACCAGGGTTTGGCGGAAATCGTATTTCTGGAGTTTTGCTTTCCAGGCTTTGTAATAATTTGACACGTTTCTTTTCCCTTCTTTTGCCAGAAACCTCATTGACATAATCCAGGAACTGTTTCTTCAAGTGCTCTGGGAGCTCGTCTACAGCATAAAACCTTTCTGTTACATTCTTTGATAATTCCGTGATGCATGATTTGAGTGAGTCGATCTGATTCAATGCGTGACGCTTGAATTGTATTTCAGGACCACATATGGGTGTGAGATGATTGCTCGACTAGATAGGGATCTTACACCAGCGGACGAACGTAACACAACAGCGTGCCAAGTGGTGTGGATTCGTGACCAGAAGCCTCTAGCTAAACAAATCGACTAAAATAGTGAGGGTCAGCATCCAATGTTCAGTGATGAATGCCATGGCCAGTAAACCTGGGGAATTACCTGCCACTACAGTGGTATTCCCACCAAGAAGTCCAATCAGCACACATCGTTTCAAATGACAAATCTGCCATTTTTAATTTAAAGCCAGCAGGCTCACGAGAGTCTACTCTTATACAACGGGTATTTGTCACTTTAAAAAAAGTTTACATTTCTTGCTGACCGACTATGCTGAACCGAAATCTTCGGTCTTTGCTGACGTGTCAGGCCCTAGAAGAGATGCGTCGATGATACCAATGTATAACGTAGATATTATTATGGCGCGCAGAGTGTGAGTCTCATTCAGAAAACTAACACACTAGGAATGCAATCACTTCCAAATGACGAGTTCCAAACAGTAACTAATACTCGTCTAGGTCACCAGCAAGCTACTTATTTCTTCAGATATCATCAAAGAGTCATCAAAGAGTGGTTGGCATATCAACAGTGAGTGAGGATTCCCACGCAATACAAGCACAATGCAAATTAACCGGTTAACTGACTCATTTCATTTGGAGAGCGGATAATACAAACAAACAAATATCCTTGATTATTTAACGGTTCTATTAATTTTTAGGTAAACAACTACAGTATAGTGCATGAATCTTGTGTGGTGTATCACATGAATACATCGGTATGTTCGTTCTTTCTCTCTTCAAACATCGGTATGTGTTGAGGGTTTATAAATCCAAGGTCATTTGCTCTACTTTCTCTGGATGGCGACATCAATCATCAAATTACATACCCTTTCCGGTGCCAATGATAACGGAGCACCCTGTTATTTACTTCAAGTAAGGTTTGCTGCATAATTACAAACATAAATATCAGATAGATGAATTCCACTGTCTTCTTGATTGCGGTTGGTGTGAGAAACTGGATAGTGATTATGTGAAAGAGGTTTCGAAGTGGGCCAAACACATTGATGCCGTGCTTCTTAGTCATCAGAGCCTAAGACATCTTGGGCTACTCCCTTATCTTGTGGGGACATGTGGACTTAACTGCCCAATTTACGCTACAACTCCTGTTTATAAAATGGGACAGATGTTTTTGTATGATTTTTACCAGTCAAGACATGCATCAGAAGACTTTCATCATTTCACCCTTGATGATGTGGACCTGGCATTTGATTATGTTCATCAGGTTAAGTATCAACAAATGACCAGTCTTCATGGACGTGGTCACGGATTATGTATAATTCCACTTCCGTCAGGTACACAATTTGACTCCTAATATACTTTCTGCAGGACATACTATTGGCGGGACTATCTGGAAAATAGTCAAAGAGGATACAAGTATTGTCTATGCCCTAGATTTCAACCACAAAAAAGAAAGACATTTGAATGGAGCCACATTCGATGCTTGCATACGTCCTCATCTATTGATTATGGATGGTTCCAACACTTTATATACTCAGGTAATCTCTTCCACTTGTTGTGGTCATTTATCAGCCTAGGAGGAAAGACCGCGATGAAAATTTACGTCAAACAATATTGAAAACCTTAAGACGTGGTGGGAATGTGTTGATTGCAGTTGATACAGCCGGTCGGTGCCTGGAGGTCGCCCATTTTCTGGAGCAGTGTTGGCTCAATCAAGTTAGTTTTTATTTACTGATATTTACCAATAAAATTGTGATGAATTATTACTGTTACGCTTAGCAATATTCGATATTGTCTTGGTGCGTAGCTTTTCTCATTTCTGGCCTAGTGTACTCCACCGGTCCAGATTTCACTATATTCCCAAAAAATTCGTCTCTAACTTAGTTAAATCAGATTTAAAAAATTTGATTTTCAAATTGATTTCATTATCAAATGACTTCTTGAACTTGGGTGAAATAATTATAAAATATCTCTTGGTTCCAAGTTATCTGGATGGTTTTTATTCTTGACGAGACCCGAAGCAAGACCAACCGAATTCATACACATATAAAGGGTCATAACATCTGGTTATAAGGTGATAAGAAAGTTTGTCATACTGACCCAGACATTACTCGAACTCCTGCAACGTTGTAAGAGCTCATGGGTATTTATCTTCTGAAATGGTGACAACCAACGGTGTATATCAAGGAATTACAATGTCACCATTCTTATAATAGTCATTTCAGGTGATTTCTACTTTGAAGTCTTTGAAATTGATTTACGTTTATTCGAAGAGCTCATACATTTTTAATACACTTGATATAGTCATTGGATGAAGACTGACAAAATGCAAGACCTAAATATTTGACTAAATAAGTTTGCATCGTCTTGTGTAATTATAGGGAGTAACGTTAAACGTTTAATCATTTCGGCTGAGGAATTTCTGTACAAAGTTTTACCTGATGTGTATCAGAAGGTAGAGCAGATCAGTCTAACAGAATGTATGCTTTTTGGTAAATATATGCAGCGCTTGAAATTTCATATCAGCTTTTTCATCAACCCTGTTTGAGGTTTGTATTTGGAAAAATGGAAAATATTTCAATGTGGCATCACTGCTCATCCTTGAGCACCGTTTCCAGTCCGCCGTAGAAACAGTACCAAATACTATTGATAATCTAAGGTCAGAGGTTAGTGTATTCCTTCAATTTCATCCGAAATGATCATGCTGGCTTGGAACATGATAAGAAGCGGAAGCTGATTATTAAAAGTGAGATTATTAAGTCGATCATTTTTATTGTGTCGTTTACAATTCTAAGGCTACTTTTTACCTTCACGTTCCTAGTGGAACATAGGGCCTCAAGCTTGTGGCTTGAAGTTTCTGTAGGAGTGTTTATTTTTACAGGATGGGGTTGCTAGCCTCATACCCGCACTTTCCTCTTTACCAGGATTATTTCTGGCTCAGCGAGGTAAAGGAGTGCGTCGGCGGTCGGGGATCGAACCCCTGACCACGTGCATGGTCGGCGAGCTTCCTAACTGCTGTACCACTGACGCACCTAAGTCTATCTAGGCAGCAATAAATATGCTCTCTTGACAAATTTCAAGGTGAGTGTTTGATTATCATTTTGCCCATAGCTAGTTGTCAGCATTCTACTGATAAGGTGCTTTTTCTCATGTTTTCTGCGTATATCATGCAAAAGGGATCTGTAATGAAGGTGCGTATTTAGTCTTAATTGTATTGGTTGGGCTTCCTACAAGTATTACAGTTTTTGTTTTCCAGGAATCTGGTCTAATGGCTTATGGATTAGCAATGATAAATAACGTGGCTGTAAATGTCGTAGACTTCGCTAAGTCTATGGTTGAGTGGATGTCTGAGAAAGTAATGCGGTCTTTTGAAGACCAGAGGAGCAATCCATTTCATTTCAGGCACATGCAGCTTTGCCATACACTGGAGCAACTAGATGCAGTTTCGGAGCCCAAAGTGAGTTAGCAGTATTTTTTGATATATTTTTTAGGTTGTTCTTTCGTCACTTTCTGATCTTAGCTGTGGATTTTCACGTCAGTTATTTGCTGAGTGGGCTGACAATGATTTAAATGCAGTTATTCTTACCTGTCGAGATTCTATCACTACTGGAGGTGATGTGTCTCCTGCGCGCAGCTTGATATCACGTCTTATTGGATTAGCAAGGAAGGACGCAGAGGCAAGAAAAGACTTGCCAACAAGTTCTACTGGCACTTTAATTCTTCCTTTAACACTGTCACAAAGAGTATCATGTTCCCAAATAGAACGATCGGGTTCTGACATTCCACACTTGAGGAATTCCACAAAAATTTTATCAGCTGCACAAAATATCAGTCCAACAGCTAGCGACTTTCCTTCAGAAACAGAACCTACAGATGTAAACACTGGTTTAGCAGGTATGCATTTTGCTTAGATTTTAAACAGGAACTTTTTTTATTTTAAGTAGTATTTGTAACCTTTAATGTAGTGAAACCCTTCATTCGGAACTGCCTTACTTCTACTGGTTAATTTTCGTTGTGGATCCACCTATCTTCTCATGGTTGTACTTTAAAAGTAGAGTCAAGCATTACTGTCAGCTGTATCACTTTCTGTATTCTATCTCTTAGCTCCAAATTTATGATTTCCTAATTCTAGAAATCTTTCGTTATGCAAATACAGACTTCTTTATATATATATATATATATATATATATATATATATATATATATATATATATATCACTTAAATTAGCATATAGACCATCTTCATTCGCCGTAAACTATTTTTTCTCATCATCCACTTGTGTCCATTTTATGGGCAATTTTCTTGTTACATTGACCATTTCTTGTCGCACATACACTTCTATCTATTTGCATAATGAGTCGTTCCTAACCTTCTGCACTCTTGGCTTCTCAATCTTGTTTATTAATTAAGCATGTGTTTTGTGTGTGATTTCATTTTTACTTAGCTGTGTATTCTGTAGATTCATTAATAATAACCAGACTCTCATTCTTGTCACGTCATGTTTTTAAAGTATTACGTGAGAGGTTATAAATCCGGGTCTTGTTCATTCCTTTTTGTCTCGGGGATTTCTGGTTGTAAATGTATTTTGTGCTTTTAAGGCGTATGTAGAATCGATTTCCAACTATTTGAACGATGTAAGGTAACCACTATACTTAATTTATCCTCTTTGTAATCTATATCAACTAGACCATCATGTTTCTTTGTATTTCTATTCTTTCTCTCTCACATTTCTGTTTTTTATAATCCTTTTAAATATCTTTTTTTCTCCCTCTTTTGTCTACACGAACGGTTTAAAGTTCTGTTCACAATTCTATGTTGAAACCTACTCAGTCAATCAGTCAATTCTCACAGTTCAATTTTCAGATACCTGAGAATTTGACGCCCTTTTTTCATTTCTTTCAAAGTATAAGTGCTGTTATTTTGAGTGTAACAAGTATACTTCTCGACTAGTTTTCAACTAAAAGTCACACCGGTTAAGATTTGTGTCTGCCAATACACTTACCTACTTCATGATTGGTTCAGCAAAGTTTTCATTTGATTCACAGCTGTTTGGCGTCCTAAAAAAAAGAAAGCGGGAGGATGCAATCGTAGTGCTAGACTATGAAGAAAGACGACTTGATTTCGCCCTCCAGATTCTCGTGGTCAGGGAATCGATGATGATGATTTCATGTTTCAGTTGTGTAGACAGAAAAAAAATCTAACTTGGCAGCTAATAATCTCAACATATAGAGGTAGATATAGGGGAGCCATATTATTACTAGTCGCTGGTAAGTATCTGTGAATACTGATCTTAGTCACTTTGAGCACTCATCCTTGTTCCTTAATGAATTGAAGGAGTATATATGGGAAAATTTGTGATTTCATCGTAAACATAGAGATATGTAGGTTGCATTCAAAATAAAATCAGCGAAACGGTTCACGAGACACGACGGTATTAATTAATTTACAGTTTTTGGTAGATATTGCAATTAATACTATGACTCTTCGCACCTAGTAACTAGTTGGTTTGAGTATTCCTGTTATCATCCTTCTGATGATTGAATTAATTAACAAAGCTCACTAAGCTCAAACCATTTTGAATTTTTCGTTAATTCATTTAAATTTGCCTCCTTGTGTTGCATTCCTGACGCCTTAATCCTGTTACACACACACTTTTGTCCAGGAAAATATAACTTTTATTCTATGCATAAATTTTTCGACTCAAAGTTAAAGAGACTGTATTGAATTTGCTATGTACTTGTCTTAAATTAACTTCAGATTATTTTATTATTCTTTTTTTTTCTTAGAACGGTGTGTCTCCTTTGTGCTTAAGTAGTATTCATTTTCAGATCTATAGTTTTACCAAGATTTCAGCAATTTTGATGCTAGAAATATAAGAATCAAGTTACATGAATGTCATCATATTTTCGTTTCAGCTCTCTTTACTAATACCATCACTAATAAACAGTTATTGTATGTGATTTCAGAGATCGTGGTGCCATCGTTGAATGATGTTCCATCTGATGAAGTTTCATCACAGAATCCAGAAGAAGCCCCTGAAAGACGCACTTCATGTGGATCTGAAATGGAAATTGAATCAACGCATAATGAAAGTCGTCCTAGTGATTCGATTGATTCTAGCGGAGATAACTTCAAGCCTCATCCTCTCACATTATCTGTCCCGAGAGATCGTTCCCAGAAGACACCTGTACCAGACAGTATGGCTAAGCTAATTCCTCAGACTAACTTACAGTCAATCCCCATGAATCTAGATCACTTCGGGGGAACAACTGTTCATCTGACTACCGGACGACATCAGGCTGGCTATGATATATATCCAGGACTTCATAATCAGGCTGGGGGACAGTTTTTCCGTGTTGCTAAACGAACTCAACTCATGTTTCCTCAAAACGAAAAGAAAGTAAGTTTATCTCAAAATATACGGAATTATTTTACAAAGCTGTTATTTACTAAGGGTGTCCCATCACGTAATATGCTCATTGATATGCTGATTCCTTGGGAGATTATTAGGATATCAACTTGAAGGAAAGCTTCCACGGTTTCATATTTCGTATTTCAATAAGAGCTGATGTCGTGACCACAAATTTAGTTTCTGTCTGTCTGTTTGTCTGTTTTCGACATAGAACTTTGCACATTTGTGCGGCAGTCCAAGTCGCCACGCTCCCACCTTGTAGCACACACACAAAGCAAGAAAAGAAAGTAGGAGAAATGCATAATAGAGACAGTAAACAGAGGTGTGAGACAGAGGAATAGAAGTAACGAAGAACAACATAGTTTCATTGGAAATCATAGGTCACAATAAGTGGATGCATCTGTGCCATTGAGAACGATTTTGAGCCATATCACCAATTGTTTCCAATCACTGGTTTTTACCGTCTCGAGGACCCTAACCAGGAAGCCAGTCTACACCTTCCCACGTGACTGGCTTAAACTAACTGTTGTGGATTTCATTGACTGGTGCCATGTTTTGGTTTTACCGCCACTAGCTCTTTTCCAGTCTGACCCTATATCAGCTAACATTGCCTGATGTTGAGGAAGGCGATGACTAGGCACACGTAACACATGTCCTAACCATCTCAGTCGATGTAGCTTCACAGCCTCGTCGGTTGATTTCCCCTCCTTACCTACTACTCGACACCTGATCTCAATATTGCTCACCTTATTATACCACTTCACACTGGAGATAGAGCGCAGGCACATATGATCAAAGACAGCTAATCTTTTCATGCCTTCCACTCTGAATGGCCAGGAGGACGGAGCGGACTACTGGGCAGTACACCCGCTCTTTGGTCGATAGCCGGATATCACGTCTACGCCAGAGACGGCGTAAACTGGCATATGCGAAACTAACCCTCTGTATCCGTGCTGAGCTTTCGTCAGAGATCAACCCGTTGGCACTGGCTGATGGTACTTACCAAATAATTGAAGCGGTCAACGTGCTCTACCACTTCACTTCCTATTTCTAAACTAGGAGTCAGTGTGGTCGGGTCCTGTAATTGCTACAAATTTAGTTTGTTGCTGTTATCATTACATGTCTTTGGAGACAACCCATCCAACATTATTGATACTTATTAACAGTGTATTACTGCTGCAAGTAGAAATGAGAAATGTAGCGTGAGAACAATGGAATTGATGAATTGTGGTAAAAAATTGTGATAGGAGGGTTATGATCACAATAAGATTAATCTGACGTACTCCTCTTGAGTAAAGATGTTGATCTTCAGTTGTCCAATTCCCAGCGCTTCTTTCATGTTCATGTAGTGAGTCTCTATGCCATTCTAAATTTTGTATTTTACTGTAAAGATGACTTTGAAGCTAAATTAAGGTGAACTTTAGTAACCAGAGTTAATCAGGTACTTGAAAATTACGCTATTGATTGGTTTACGTCCTGATTTTAATACCCCTGGAAGAGATGTTTGAATACCACAACAATAAACGTAATTTACAACTTTTGGAAATCTGATTTATAAAAGAAAACTCTTAGTGCTATTACCTTTGAGATTATAGATTTTTGTAGGGATATGAATCGATTTTAAAGTAGCTTTCGTTCTGAACCAATCCCATTGAAGGATCATTAAAAATCATATAGTACTAGGCACTTGTTTCTTCCTGGTTTGGAGCTGTTCAGCGATGCGCACCCACGACCTCACTAGGGATCGTACTCGGACCTTCAGGTTACGTGGTCAAGCTCGTTTACCAACATTCAACCTATTGGGATGAGATTAATTGACCCGTGAATTTTAACTTCTGTCAGTGCTTGGTATTGCTCTACCCTCAACCACTGTCTTAATTGAACGTCCATTTCGTCCTAACGGCTGGTTCCGCTGGCCACGGCTCCTCACTTTGGCTTCAGGACTTCCATTCATAAGCTATTAATGAGCTAGAGCTAGGTTTTGTAGGGATTTGAATCCAGATTTCGTCACGAACCAAGCAGCTGAGTAGTCAACGAGCCTAGCCTTTTAACCCTTAAAGGTCCCAGGTTTGATCCCTGGTGCGGTCGTGGTTGCGCACCACTGAAGAGCCCCAAACTAGGAGGACAGCTGTTGAAATTTATCTTTTGTTAACTTAATTCCGCCTAAAGATTGAGTATAGATAAGCTAAATTTAACTATACACAAGTCTACCAACTAGGTAATATCTTTGACTAGGATTCTTCATCCTTTTCAATGAGATTCGAACTAATAAAGCTGAATAACTTCGTTCAAAGTAATATTAAACTCTGTTTAAGACTAATTCTTGTCTTACGCATATTTGCGTTTGGTACCTATGTCGATATTACGTTGTGATCAAAACTATTTCTGATTGTAATATATTGAATTAAGTTTGTGAAGAAACATATTTTATTCAGACTTGTGGGATTAAGTTGTGCAATGACTATCTTGAGATGTCAGAACACCGTTACGCTTTAGAATGCATTCATGTAAATATGCTAGGTAACCTTAGCACCTTTTATCAGTCATGCTCATTCATCTCTAATGCATTTCATATGGTAGTTTTAGATTCCACTAAGTTATGAATTTCTTATGACGTCTTAACACTAACTATTCATTAAATATTTGATTCCTAATTATCGTAACTTCAAATTATAAGAGTGGGTGGTTGATTGTGGGAATACACATCTGGGTTGATTTTCTCCATGATATCATATGGAGTGTCATCTTTGTGTTTCCATAGTTATATTTTCACTTTAAATTTATTGTGGATGTGTATTTATGTCAACAGGTTCATTGGGATGAATATGGGGCTCATCTCGATCCGGAATTGTTTGCTTCGGTTGAACCTATTCCTAACCAGGTACCACTACAGCTTTGCGACGTTAAAAATAAAGGTTAGTTCTTCATCGGAATAACAATATTAATTAATAGTTGGTTTACTATCTTATCTATCTGATCCACCTTCCGTTTCACTTTTTTTATTTCCCGTCATATATGATTTCCGAGGCCCAACTTGTCAACGTTAATATGATTTGCAGAATTTCGAGAATAATGAATCAGTTCACCGAAATATCTGTATTTCATTTGCTTTCTGAGCAGCTCTAGACATCTTGCACATATTCCATGTCCCCATTTTTATTTTTCCTCTTATGCCAAGAAGACATATCGACTGACTGACTTTCCAAAGGCTCTCACCAGTCTGCTTCATTTCATCTCTCCTATTGTACTGAAGAATACGTTCTTTATATTTTGTTTATGCTTTGAAGTTTCTGTGCCGTTCGGTCTTATTTTCCGGGGTACAGTCGTTAGCCCTACTCTCAAACTCCTATTCTTTTCCGTGCTTATGACTGGCTAGTAAACTAGGTGAGGACATTCGCTGAGCAGACTATCGAGTAGCCTACCACACTAGGCAGGACCTCGGGTTGAATCTGAATGGGGAACGACGAGTTGGATATGAATGTGGTGTGAGAAGGAAATTGAAGCTTATAGAAAATTGCGCAACCAGCTGAAAATCACCACGAAAAACAGGATAAAGTGACGTTTCTCTGAAACCCTATGTTCCGTTTGGAATCCAAAGGAATAGAAATAATCATGATATCTGTGTTACTGTAATTATTTGTTTTTATCATCGGTATGCTACTTTCAAAATCTTGAAATGATTAGCCGATTTCTTTGGAAGCATTTATACTGTTCCTTTTCCTTATTCCTGTGTTCATTTTAATTGCTTTCTGTGAAGCCTCAACATTTAAACTAACGCCATTCCTGTTTTTTTTCTGCATGTACATCTTATATACAATTTTTAGTTTTATTATTTACTTTTATTCCTTTGCGTTCCGAATGGCACGTAGGGCTTCAAGCTTTATGCTTTAAAATTTGTAATAATAGTGATGTTGTTTTTCACGGGGGTAGAGTTGCTAGCCTCATGCTCAACCTTTCCCCTCTTTTTCTGACTTACTACCCGCTAGTAAACCAGGTGAGGTTTAGAAGTGCATTGGCCGGGAATCGAACCCCTAGCCACATTGTGTAGTTGGCAGGTATTCTACCCCTGAACCAGCAGCTCACCATAATTTAGTGTGTTGTACAACTGTTACTTAATTACTTACTTAGCAGTGTGAATATAGCATCAACTTAAGTTTCGCTTGGATTATTTACCTTCATATTCATAATATCATATGTTTTGCGAATTACTGGAAGTCAGAATTCATTGGGCATTGATTGGGATCCCAGTGGCTGAATGAATGGTCTACGAACTCGCCTTGTAACCACAGTGTCATCGGTTCGGACCCTGGTTTATGCGTACTGATGAAGAGTCCTAAACTAGGACGGAGGAGCTGTCCAGTACTCCTTTGATTCTCAACGGTTCACTGACTGATGTCAGCTTGGGACCAAATCTGTAACCAATCAAATCCCTGCAATAGCAACACTTGAAAATATTCCTAAAGTGACATTATCTTCTAGAAATATCATTTAAAAAAGTGTCTTCAAGTTGTTCGATTGTACTGTAGAATTGTTGCACTATTTCATAAATCGGTTTTCAACCATAGTAAACTATTTTTTTAATCAGATTTGATTCCTGTACATTTTTTCTCTCAATGGATGATCAAATATTATCAGCGGGTATATGGCTTGTCTACATCTTGAAATTGACGAGTTTCATTAAGATATTTTTACAGTCTACTCACTACTACTGCTGATGGTACTACTACTAGTGTGACATCAGAACGCAAGAGAGGTTGGTAACGGAATGTTTATTTGTAGTTTGATATGCACAGATAGAGAAATTGTGTATACCATATATGAAAATGGTCATTTGCACACTTCTTCGATGTTGTGCCACTTCTGCCTTTCGTATTGTGTTTCTGTGTGACTTATTTTCTTGCCTCCCATGTTTTGCCGCAACACTGCTTCATATTTGCTCTCTTTGACGTTAAATCTATCTCTCAGCTATCAGATACTTCTTCACCAATGAACGTCTCTTTATATACTACTGATAAGTCCCTATGGACAGCACACACCACACTAATACCTAGATTCCAATTTTTTAAAGTTCATAATTTTGGTAAAACGCTATATATATTCGTTACACATGAATCTCGTGTGAATTTATAAGGTGTGGCTCATTGGCCTTCAGTTAACACTTCCCTGTAAACTGTAAGATGCTGCTACAGGACTGGACTACATCAACTCCTAGCTTAGTGATAAGGAGTGAACTGATAGAACATGTTGACCACTTCACCTATTTGGGAAGTTGTATCAGCACCAACGGACTGATTGGCGACGAAATTTCAGCACGGATCCAAAAAGCTCGAGCTGTTTTCGCTGACTTACACCATCTCTGGCGTAGGCGTGATATCCGGCTATCAACCAAGGAACGTGTGTACTGCTCAGCAGTTTGCTTCATCTTTCTCTATGGCTCTAAAACATGGTGAATACGAGTTGAAGATATGAAAAGTTTGACTGTTTTTGATCATAGATGTCTACGATCTCTTTCTCACGTTAGGTGGTATAACAAGGTAAGTAATGTTGACGTTGGGCGTAGAGTGTTGGGCAAACAGGGAAAATCAATCGACGAGGCCATAAATTTACATAGATTGAGATGGCTAGGTCACGTGCTGCGCATGCCTAACCATCGCCTCCCCCGACGGGCATTACTAGCTGATATAGGTGCAGGTTGGAAAAGAGTAAATGGTGGCCAAACAAAAACATGGCCTCATCAATCCATGAAATCCTTGACAGTTAAACTGAGTCAGGTAGGGAGGGAGATGCAGACTTCCGGGTTGGGGCCCTCGGGACTCTAGGAATCAATGGCTGGAGACAACAGGTGACATGGATCAAAATCGTTGTCAATGGCCAGCGCAGATGTATTCAGTCTCTGTAATCTTTCATATTCCCTTCTACCATTACCCATTCTGTTTCACTCTTATACTTGTCAAACTCTATTGATTCTCTTCACTCATCTTCTTGTCTACCTTTGTGTGCTATTTGGAAGGTGGCAACTGGAACTGTTGCATTTCGGTGGCAAGTTCTATGTTGAATCCAGACAGACAGACAGTTAACAGATCACAGATTCGAGTTCCACTCTATTTACTTCAACTTGGTTAACTGGATAGTATCATTAGTTCTCATACAATGAGTGTGGCTTGTATCCCGGTATATGGAAGATCTGTTCTGGATAATTGAGTTCAAATAAGGGGCTTTTTGTCCTTCTTACTTAGTGTAGTGCTAATTACTGAGGCGATAGTTGTTGATGGTAGGTATTATTTAGTTTATATGTTGTTGATTTGTTTTTGAATACTTATCAATCTGTAAATTATATTTTTTCTTATATTCACTTACAGATATAAAAGCAAGTCCAGATTTTATTGCATCGACTTTCAATTCTACATCAATATTAGATTATTTAGTTGCTAAAACACCAAATCTCGATGTATTGGATACGGATACACGTTGTGTAATACACAGTTTAGAAATACCTTTACGTTGTGAAATTATATTTTTGGATTATGAGGTTGGTTGGTGGTTTGTATTTTGATAGGTCATGTTAATGATTCTATTAATTTTTTCAAAAATGAATTATTTCGAGTTTGATCATGGATTAATATTGGTTAGAGAGTCGCTGAAAAACGGAGCACCTGCTCTAAGGCAAGCTCGTAGACCGTTCATTCAGCAACTAGGATCCAATTCAATGATCCATGAATTCTAACTTCTACCAATTCATGATTTTTTCTCTGCCACCAGCAAATGCCGTCAAGTATTTGTCCTCATGTCGCAACCGGGTGGACCCAGTGAATGAATGGTCTACGGGCTCTCCTGTTAACTGGGGGTCCTTGGTTTGAACCCCGATGGGTTCACACCACCGAAGAATCTTACACTAGGACGAAACGGCTGTTTCAGTACTCCGTGGTTTTCAGTGGTTCTCTAACTGATAACTTTTGAAAGTTAATCTGATGCCTGCTGGTGACTGGCTGCAGGGCAAAGTTGCCTGGACTTCTAGGGAATTTCGATCAGCGGGGCCCATCATTTCGGGTGTGACGATAAATACTCGCCGATGACAAGCTACTGATCGTGTTAAAATCACGAACTGGTAGAAGTCAGAATTCATGGACTGTCCAATGAGTTGGGTTGTAGTGGCTGAATAATCTACAAGTTTACCTTGTAACTGGAAGGTGCTGGGTTCGAAGCCCGGCCGGTGAGCGCTAACCGACAAGGAGTCTCAACTGGAACGAAACAACTATCCAGTGCTTCCAGGTTTTCAGTGGTTCACGAACTGATATCAATCTATGGGCAGACCTGAAACTAACGGTTACATAATGTTTCACTTCAATTGAAAACAGAGTTTAGGATTTTCAAGTTCAACAACTACTTAGTGTTTATTTTTAGATATCTTATATTTTCAAATTTTCACAAAATGTTATTGTTATACAAATGACTACAATGTTTTTTCCATTTTCTAATAATAAATTAAGCTTTCTATACTCTGTACCGACATATAATATCAGACCGATAAGTAGATGTAGGTGTTCATGTGTGTCTCTCTGCCTTCTTCTGACAAATACTCTTTAATTTCTCTTACATTTTTTTTCTGTTTCTGTGCCATATTGAATTATACAGTCAGTTAAAGTGTTTTTTTTAAAATTCTCAAGACATCTTTATTTTTGTTTTTCAACATTGTGTTTATCTATCTATCTGTCTATAGTAGAATCTTGTATGTGCACACATTGTCAAATATGAATGACCTATTTGCAAATTTTTTCAGCCAATACTCTTATATACTTTAATACAACCGACTACGTATACATTTTATTTATCTTTTAGTCCTCTGCGTTTCGAGTGGAACATAGGGCTTCAAACTTGAGCTTTTAAGTTTAAGTGGTAGTGGCGTTTAGTTTTTTTTTTTTTTTTGAGATTTACAGCTTGATTCCACACTGTATTTTTGGTACAAGTATGGAATTTTCAGCATGGATATCGGTAGCCCAAATTTCGCAGGCCGACCATAGATATCAGGTGTGCGCCGGCGTGGGCTCGAACCCCGGACCATGTGCATGGTCGGCGAGAGTCCTAACCACTGTGCCACCGACGCACACGGGATAAAAGTGGTTGCCTAGCCTCACACCCCTATCCTTTTCGCTTTACCGGGACTACTACTACTACTACCACTACTACTGTAACTACAGCAGACAAGGGACCAGGCAACAGATCGTTTATTGAGAAAATCAAGAGATATTTATAGATCTTTATGTACATTATCATTAGCGTTATTGTTAGCAGAGAAGCAACGTCTTCTCATTAGTTGTTTTCTTGCTGAAGGTTATTCTATCCTGCCTGTGATTGTTTCTGAGTAAGTTAAGCCATATATCTGCGAATCGCATTTGCACATGCTGAGTTTGCTGTGACTGGTTGTTGAGTTCCTGAAAGTTAGGCTTTGTCATTGTTTTTTCCCATGACCCCGATTCGGGACGTAAACATTGACGCAAATTGTTGTCTACAATTTTAGCTTACAGACAGCTCTCACCACACTCCTGCCGGCTAAGCAAGGTTAGTTAAGAAGTACACCGGTCGTGGATTGAACCCCAGACGATGTGTATCGTTTACGAGTATTTTACCACTGAACTGTCAACGGGAGACAGTACTATCGTAGTGTGGAAAACATTGAAGATAAAGTGTCTTGAAATTTATCCTTAAAAAAAAAACAACATTTATTCTTTTTTATTTTCTTAGGGTCGATCAGATGGTGAAGCTATGAAGCGTATACTAATCGGTTTAAGACCCCAAGAAGTGATTTTAGTTGGCAATAATTCACCAGCTATTGATCATCTTGCTAATTATTGCCGTGGTGTTATGCTGTTAGATTCAAAATTAATACATATTCCTCATTCACTAGAAGTTGTCAATTGTACAAAAGAAGGTGATATTTATCAGGTGGGTTTAATTGAATTCGCTTGATTATTTTAACATTTGCATTAATTGTCAAGTATTGATTTGCAGGGATTGGATTGCTTACATGTTTGGTCATGAGTTGACATCGGTTAGAAAGCTATTGGAAGAAGTTGGAGTACTGGACAACTGTTTCATCCTAGTTTAGTTCTCCTCATCAGTACGCACCCATCGGAGTTTGAATCTAGGACCTTCCGATAACTAATCTAATTCTTGCTGGTGACTGGCTCTATACAGGATGTTATCTGAAGTCCTCCTAGTGAGAAGTCGTGATCATTGGGGGCCAGCAAGTCAGCTAAGAGAACAGTTGGTTGGCGGTTGTTCCGTATATGTAGCAAATTGGAAGAAGTTGTCATTCACAGGCCATTGGACTGGGTCTCACTCTCTGAATGGTCTGCGAGTTCGCCCTGTAACCGGAAGGCCCTGGGTTCAAACCCCTAATGGGTTCGCACAGCTGAAATCTCCCAAACTAGGACGATATAGCCATCCAGTACTCCTAGGTTTTCCAATGGTTTTGTGACTGGTGTCAACTCGTGTTCAAATTCGCATTGATAGTGATGGTATGAACTATTGTTATGGGTTTCCGAGTGGAACAGGGCTTCGGAAGTACAGTGCTCTTTCAACCTGTTCTCTGCATACTTCTTTAACTGGCTCCACAATTGCCTATACGCTTTCAGTTCCTCTTCATCACACGGCATCCTTCAGATCATCTTAAGACCCTATTCTAATTCGTAGTTTCGCATTCGAGCTTCACTCAAGGGTCTAGTGCGTGATAATGTCACTCAGTCGTCTTCTCAGCGTGTGATAATTCATCTCCATTTCATTCTGCGTATTTGTTAGGGCTTACGGCGAGCTGTCATCTGAACTGATGACGACCAGTGGTGTCCGTCAAGGATGCCCATTATCCCCTTTTCTATTCAACTTCATCATAGATGTGTTAATGTACTTAACCCTAGGTGACTTCAGTGACTCAGGAATTGACTTGCTACCAAAGAATAATCTCGTTGACTTAGAATATGCAGACGATATAGTCCTTCTAGGCGAAGACGCTGACGAAATGCAGAGTCTTCTAAACACCTTGAGCCGCAATCTACGAATGTTTGGCATGCGATTCGCTCCCGCCAAATGCAAGATGATGTTACAGGACTGGACTACATCGACGCCTAGTTTAAAAATAGGAAGTGAAGTGGTAGAGCACGTTGACCGCTTCACTTATTTGGGAAGTACCATCAGCCCCAACGGGCTGATCTCTGACGAAATCTCAGCACGAATACAAGGGGCTCGTTTCGCATTTGTTAGTTTACGCCGTCTCTGGCGTAGACGAGATGTTCGACTATCGACCAAAGGGCGGGTGTACTGCTCATCAGTCCGCTCCGTCCTCCTTTATGGCCAGCTGTGAGACCTGGCCACTGAGAGTGGAAGACATGAAAAGACTAGCTGTCTTTGATCATAGGTGCCTGCGTTCTATTTCCCGTGTAAAGTGGCATAATAAGGTGAGCAACATGGAGGTTAGGCGTAGAGTTCTAGGTAAACAGGGGAAATCAATCGACGAAGTCGTGAAGCTACATCGACTGAGATGGTTAGGACATGTGTTACGTATGCCAAGCCATCGCCTCCCTCGACGAGCTATGTTAGCGGATATAGGGTCAGGCTGGAAGAAAGCTAGCGGCGGTCAAACAAAAACTTGGCATCAGTCAATGAAATCCACAACAGTTGGTCTAAGCCACGTAGAAAGGTGTAGACTTCCTGACTGGCTGGGGTCCTCGGGGCGATAAAAATCTATGGTTGGAAACAATTGGTGACATGGCTCAAAATCGTTCTCAGTGGCCAGCGCAGATGCATCCACTCCCTGTGACTTATGATCTTCAATGAAACTGTTTTGTATTTCTTTATTACTCCTTTGTCTCACACCTCTGCTCACTGTTTCTATTATGCTTTTCTTGTACTTTCTTCTCTTGCTTCGCGTGCTACACGGAATGTGGCGACTTGAACTTCCGCACATTTGTGCAAAGTCCTATGTCGAAAACAGACAGACAGACAGTATTTGTTAGGCGCGATAGTTTCTTAATTGGTCCTTTGCACTGTAGAGCTCCTTTTTGGTTATCCATTCCGTCATATAAGATATTCAGTATCAGCGAAGGCTGATTCTGATAAAAGTCTGAAGTCTCCTGTTGGAAATGCTTTTCATAACGCGTACACCACATCTCTAAATCATTCGGAAACACTGATTTGACATTAGCTACTAAATGACATTATTATCATTATGATTAAGTTATAGGATTGAGGCGTGAGTGTAATTATTCTGTTTCACACGAATCAAGTGACTCATTGAATACAATAATTAATTAGTTGAACTTTTAATAATAAACAACGTCATATTTTGAAAAAAAAAGTTAAAATATTAATAAATTGACTCTAAACTCAATTCTAAAAAAACCCCCATCATTTATTCATTGCATGCAATTAGATCCTTTTGATAAACTTATATAATGCAATGTGAGAGAAGCTTTTGTTAGAAAGCAGGGCATGTAAACTATGTTGAGATGTTTCATATTTTACTGTAAAAGTTGTTCTCTTATTGCATTATTCAAATTCTATTGATTTGTTGTACATACATCAGTCTGATGAGTCCTTGATAAAAAAGAAAGATGCGTTATGTTTTCCGCTCGATAAGACATTACTGGAGCCACTTAAGATACCTTTTCCTCGAATTCTGATTCGAGTAGGCTGAAGAATACCTTGAAGAATTGCATGTACAAGATACAATGATGGCTAATGGAAGTTCTTTGGAGAACTCTTCTTTTTTTAACATATGGCTAGCCTATATGTATCATTGTGTTTGAATGTCAACAGATAGGACCGTCTTTATTCATGCAGCCGATACTCTGCCTCAAATATTCACTCTTTCACTTCAGGCTGAAATACTATACTATATTTTGAATTGTGATTGGACGCATATTACGTCATGTTCATTCAGTAGACTGAAGATGTTGTCTAGATAAACAATGGAAGCCTAGAAAACAACCAAATTCCAATTCATCCACCTGAGCTACAAATCTCTAATATTTCAGAATCCCACTTATAGTATTTTTATTTGATCCTTTAAGCATCGAAATCGTCGCCTGTTGCAATAAGATTTTTTGTGAGACAGTCGAAAAAGGCAGCTAGTTATTTATTATCACACTTAAATCAGGCGTGTAAACATTTTTATTTGCGTCGGTATTGGCTAGCAGTGGAATATTCAGAATGCTCATTTCTACCTGTTTGAAACTCGTTATCAGTTGGATGTACCTTCATTCCCAGTGAGCGATGATGATGTTCCGTTAGGAATAAAGGTACATCCAGTTGGTTGCATGAAGGATTTCATCATGAGCTGACATCAGTTAGAGAACCACTGAAAAACCAACTGGGAGTACTGGACAGCTGTTTTGTCAGCCTAGTTTGGGACTCTTCAGCAATACGCACCCACTGCCAAGGTTCCAACACAAGGGGAGCTCGTAGACCATTGGGCCACTGAGACTCGATCCAGTGGTTTTTTGAATTCTAACTTCTGCCAATTCACTACATAGCACGACCATTTCGCAATGCCTTTTTCGACGAGTTACTGCCTCATCTTCGACCTGCTGTACCCTACTGGTCACGGCTTCCCATTAGTTGACGCGTTCCAAATAGGATGTGAAATACACATCCTGGATTCCCATGCTAATCACCATCAACCGAAATAGCTTGACGTTAATCCTTAGACGTTGCCAAAGCAACCGTACTAGGAACCGACGTATTAACAGACGCCAAAGATCTCATTCCAATCAATCGATGGAGAAATCAAAACTGAATGAAAAACATCATTATTGTTTACTTGCTAATCAATATTTACACTGTTAGAGACACTTATCATTGTGTGTAATTAATTCATATTCTCTAATTGTCTTCTCTCTTTGTAGGCACGAATGAAGGATAGTTTAGTATCAAGTTTGAAATTTACAAAAATACGTGATTATGAACTGGCTTGGGTTGAAGCAGTTGTATCACTTGATGATAAATCTAATTATCATATTAAAGAAGAGACAGAAAATGAAGATGAAGAAATGTCCAGTGATAATAATAATAATAATAATAATCAGGATCATAAAGCGGGATCAGAATCTAAAAGTCGTACACCATTAGCTGCTGATGAATTACCAGTTCTTAGTCTTCCAACAGGTCCTGTTGGACGACATGATACTGTCTTTGTAAATGAACCAAAATTATCAGATGTAGGTTTAAATTGTATTCGAATAATAATTTTTACTAGACAACAGTTGCTTCTTCTCTATGTCTCAGTGTGTAGGAGTTTTTCGTTAATGTTGTGTGCAGTATTATAGCCTTATTGAGACTTTTATATTTCTAGCTGTCAAATATTTATTTGACTGTTATCAGACTAATATTGATTTTTTTGATCGGTTTTTTTCCTGGTATTTGTTAGATTTATTGTATACGGGTAGAATACACGACAAGTTAGTGAATTCGTCTTCATTTTAGATCAGTAGGCAACGTTGTATATATGACTCACATGCATAGGCGCATCGTAGTAGTAAAAGCTTAAAATAGTAACAAGACACTTCTGTATAATATAGTTGGAGAGGAATGATAGGCTAGCAATAGTCAGCCTTAGAATTCATTCAAATTAATCAGTCTTTGATTTTTTTTTGGAATTATATACTTACTATTTCATGAATATTAAAAATGAAGAAATAAATGATTGATTTCAGATGATTTTGGATCTCATCAGAGGTATTGTTCGAGAGGTGATTTGGCAACTACTTTGGTACTACGGGGTGCCGCCGACAATTATACATATCCAACAGCTGTACGACAACGCTGCATGCCAAGTAATCCACAACGGGAAACTTACGGAATCCTTCAAAGTGAAGACAGGAGTAAGACAAACTGGCTGCCTACTATCGCCAATGATTTTCCTGATTGCAGTAGATTGGATAATGCGACAGACAGTGGGCAGCGAGGAGACAGGAGACACAAAAAACTTGGAGGGTCTGGACTTCTCCGATGATATATGTCTGATTGCCCACAAACTGGAAGATATGCAAGCGAAAAGCAACAAGTTGGCAGAAGAAGCATCAAAGATAGGACTTCAAGTGAACATAGATAAAACAGAGGTGATGGAGATTCCTGGACAACACCACCACCAACAACAACAGACAACAATCAGCCAGCATAAATGGGAGGAACCTGAAAGAAACAACCTCCTTTACCTACCTGGGAAGTATCGTTTCAACTACAGGCGGAACTAACGAGGATATCAAAGCAAAGATCGGGAAAGCAAGGCAAGCTTTCATTACTTCCAAGTCCATCAACAGCACTACTCAGAATGAAAAACAAGATCCGGATTTTCAACTCCAATCAGGTCAGTGCTACTTTCTATGCGGATCAGAGACTTGGCGCGTCATAAAGAGCATCTCAAACAAACTTCAGACCTTCATTAACAACTGTCTTTACTCAATACTCAAGATCAGATGGCCAGAAAAGATCAGCAACAGGGATCTCTGGTAATGAGTGAACCAACCAGGAACCGATTGTGAAACAAATAGGCAGGAAGAAATGGAGATGGATTGGCCATACTTTGAGGGAACCAGCAAGTGACATCACTAGACAAGCCACTGCTCGAGTGGAACCCGAAAGGGAAGCGGCTAGTTGGTCGTCAGTGCAAGGATGACTTGGAAGAAGTCATGTGAGGAGGAGATGAAAGCTTGTGGGCAGACTTGGAGCGGGGTGAAAAAGTTGGCAGAGAACCGAAGGCAATGGAGACGTGTGGCTGAAGCCCTATGTTCCTCTAGGAATTAAAGGAAAAAAAATAATAAGAGGTATTGTCCAACATCTGTCATTGCTGAACATGGTAGAACTTATTCGTAAAATTCATACTTCGAAAAGGCATACATAGCATTTGGGAAGAAGTAAAATGGAGTTACAGTTGATAAAAGCATACAGAAGAGAGAGTTTAATCAAATGAAGACTAGGGAAGATAATAAGGAATGTGTAAAATGACGTAGACTGATTGACTGACTGACTGAATTTCAGTGCCGTGATTTGCATAGAAATGCAAATAAATAAATAAAAAATCAGTCGCTTTGTGATGCTTGCCAGTTTGTGAAATCCTTGACATAAAAATAAAATTTCGGTACTGTGGTAGAGTATAATTCCCGAATAATTTTATTTGATGAAACGCATAGTATTATTGTTCTCCTTGGGTTCTCAGTGGAACACAAAGCTTCAGCAGCACATCCCAACTTCATCCTTCCCTGTTCAGTATTTTTTTAGTTGGATCCATGCCTTTCCATAAACTTTCATTTCCTCCTCACTTTGTCTCCCCTGTGTGCCAACCTTGGATGCGTGTTCAAGGCGCCGTCTCCTATTCGGTTTCCACTTGAGGGCCTGTTTAGTGTGTGATGTCAATCAGTGTTCTCCTCGGCGTATGTGCAATCCATCTCGATTTCCTTTTGTATGTTTGTGTAGGATAGGTGATAGGTTCTTGGTTGTCTTGTTTGCAGAGTTGCTTTTTGCCTATCTTTTCTGATTGGTCTTCTAATCTCCAGTATCAAAGCAGTGAAGGCGGTTGTTGATGACGTTTCGAGCATAACGTTGTATTGTATGACATACATAGAATCAATGCACTTTCGTACTTATAACCTCGGATATCTTAATGTCACCTCACTTTTTCAATATTGCTGGGCATAATTAATAATTAAATTAGGGAAAAGTGATATATTCAGGCATAAGTATTGGTTTGTAGGGATTTGGTTGATTGGTTACAGGATTTCACCATGAGTTGACGTTGGTTAGAGAACCATTGGAAAACCAGCTGGGAGTACTGGACAGCTGTTTCGTCCTAGTTTGGGACTCTTCATCGGTACACACCCACCGGGGTTCGAATCCAGGACCTCTTGGTTAATGGTATACGAGCTCGCCTTGTAACCAGGAGGTCCTGAGTTCGAACCCCGGTGGGTGCGTGCTGATGAAGAGTCCGAAACAAGGACGAAACAGCTGTCCAGTACCCCCAGTTGGTTTTCCAATGGTTTTCTAACCAATGTCAACTCATGATGAAATCCTGTAACCATAAATTTATTATTTTTTTAAAAATCGCTTTATTTTCCTTTTTCTTTTTATCTGTTAACAGTTGAAACAGCTTTTATTGTCACAAGGTTTAATGGCAGAATTTGTCAGTGGTATATTAGTCGTTGATAATTGTGTATCGATTAAACGTTCAGAAGCAGGTAAATTATTACTAGAAGGCTTATTATGCGGAACTTATTTTGAAGTACGTCGTATCCTGTATCAACAATTCGCTATCTTGTGATGAAATGAAGACAAGAAAAAGATAAATAACAGCATTGTTTTTGTTCTGTACACATATTATTATTGTACGTGTATATATATTTTTTGTGAAATAAATATTGTTTTGCTATTGTTTGCCTGTCTTCTGTTACCTTCTTAGTGTAATTGGTTTCACTGAACTGATATGTTGATGTATTTTTATTTGGTATAATATGTATACTATTTTTTGAGTAGTGGTTTATTGGTTTGGACTGTTCATTTCCTATCAGTGGGTCATGGGTTCGACTTCGGCTTGGCCTACCGATGTATTTCAGCAGTCAAGTAGTATCAAACTAACCCTTACACCATAGGTGTATGGCTTATTGAAAACTGCATAGAATTGCAAGTGTTTGTTGAGTAACATTTCATGCAATTTTTTTTCCATTTTTTCAGTTGTCTGTTTTTGTTGTCATACATATGAAAAGTGACAAACATGTACATTTATGAAACATGATAAAAAGTAGCTGTGTAGAAAGTGACAGTTGATATCGATAGCTCAGCGGTAGAATACTCGCCAACCACCCGCACCACGGTCTGGGGTTCTACCTCCAACCGGTGCACTCGTAAACTTTACCTAACTAGGCGTGAGTCTGATGACCTCACCACTGTTACTGAAAATTCAAAACTCAAGCTTTTAGCCCTATGTTCTACTTAGAATGCAACGAAAACAAAAGGGCTAATCCAAAATTTTCAAGATAATAAGGTTATCGTAAGATAAGGTAAGATAAGATAATAAGGTTGTCATCGGGTCCCAGTGGCTCCAATGGTCTACGAGCTCGCCCTGTAACCAGAAGGTCGTGGGTTCGAACCCCTGTTGTGGGTGCGTACTGCTGAAGAGTCCCAAACTAATTCCATTATAAGTCCCAAACTAGGCTGACGAAACAGCTGTCCAGTACTCCCAGTTGGTTTTCCGGTGGTTCTCTAACTGATGTCAGCTCATGATGAAATCCTCCATGCAATCAAATAAATTATTCTCATAGATTAATAAATGTACTTGTAAACTGTTCAGAATATTAAAAAAATTTTTTGATCTTGACTTACAGAGATCAAACAGAATTACTTATGGAATTGATTTAGATTTTGTAAACAAAAAATCTATCGATATATATTTAAATTGGATCTTACATAACAAAACTGTTTTACAGACGTTTACAGGCGGTTACTTTCATTTCTCAGATTCTTGGTGTACACAAAATGTTTTTCTCTTTGTTGTATTTATATCCAGTGTACATATACAATGTTGTGTTAATGATTGTAGTCCTTAATGTGTATCTCTTTTTACTTAAAAAAAAACACCCATTATAGATTTGACCATCGATGTCGAAGCCAGCTTTCGATAATCTTGTCGATGATGTCCAATTACTTATCTCTCGTATGCGTTCACGTGAAGATGCTGCAGATGCCTTGCGTCAACAGGCATCAAAATTACAAGCACAGTTATTGAGTATGAGACAGGTGATTAACTAGCTCCTATTATTTTTACTCTTCGTTAAATCTTATAATTACTTTTCATTGGTTGTATTATTTTTATATTTCTGTTCAGTAGGTTGCAAAAGTTGTATGTGATATTTAACTGTTTTAATTCAAGAACAAAATACTACTAGTCCGACTGGTCAGTTGGTAGTAACCAATGTCATACGTCTAGCTGTCTTGTTTAGATGCAGACTGACAGTTAGACTTGTAATATTGTTGCCATGTTAAGTAGCACATGACATTGGTTTCTACCTTGTGACTAGTCTAAGTATGCATTATACTACTAAAATAGGTCAATTGCAGGCCCGAACAGCTCAGTGGCATTGACCCTAACTACAGCTCGGGTCGATGCAAGTCCGAATGTCACAGCGGATACAAGTTGTTATGTACTGCTGCTGAATGAGTTATTAGAGTTTTCCCCGTCGCCAGTTATGTTATGTACTCGTCGAGTAGTTAATAGTCCTGACGCAGAAGAGAGGGAAATCAGAAGACCACCAGGTTTACGATGATACTTGTATTTTCCAGACAAGGAAAATAAATGTCACACAAGAGGGTGAGTGAAATGGTACAGAGTGTACGAAAATGTGTGTGAACAAGTATACAGTACAAAAGTATATATGAAAAAGACTAATACACATGAACCAATAAGACAGTCATCTTACAATGATTGGTTGTAATGTCACGTGATAACAAGGTCATACATTGTTTATTTAGTTAGTGGATAGACAAAAGCATAATGTCAGTTATAATAGAATATCGATCCATATACACATAGCAAAATATAACAGACTGTCAAAAACAAAACACACATCATGTGGATACATATCACAATTTCCTTTAATATTGTAGATATACCTTGCTGACGGGTGAGTGCCACGAAGCATGAAACCTAAATCCAGGGCCTTCTGGGGATCGCCTTCAACCATCTAATACTAATGCTACTAATTTGTGTGGAAGTAGTCTTCTATTACTGTTACCTGGATAATCGGTATAGTTTATGTAGTATTTTCTCAGAATGTTTATTTTTAAAAACTAAGGTGACTAGGAGAAATTTATGCTCATTCAAATAAAGTTTTTCAAAAAAATGATGACATTAGTCTTCCTCATTGTCAAGGAACTTAACACTAAGTTCTCATTGATACGAAGATGCTCCGAACAGATAATTACCTTAACTTTCTCGACTTTAACTCCAAAACACGAGTACTTTAAGGAAGTTGTATTGTTTGGCAGTTAAAGTCTGGATAAGTACAAGTCTATAAACCAATGTTTTATACAAAATATAATGTATTTTTATTCTTATTCTTTCGTCTTCTTCGAACCTGTACGCGATTGAACCATTCGCTCCTTCTAGTTGCCCACCAATGGCTACCAGTTCCAATAAACAAAACTTTCAGTGTTCACGTCCATTGACACTCATCTTATTTTAACTGTGTTTACAATTCAGTGTTATGTACGTGGGTTGTTCGCTAACCGCATACGTGATCTGAGGTTCGATTCCCGGCTGACGCACTCCTAAACCTCGCCTAGTGGGGATAGTAGTCTTGTTAAAAAGAGAAGGTTAAGTGTTAGGCCAGGGATCCCACCTCATGAAGAAATCAACACCACTTCTACTGACACTTCAAAGCTGAGGCTTATAGCCCAGTTTCCCACTGGATACGTGAAGGAATGGAAAAATTCAGTTTGCTTACCTAGAGGAGATTCATTATCTCATGTATATACCATTTCACTTTAAACCATTTTTGTAAATAGGTAGAATCACAGTAGGAATCTTTCCTTACTATCTATGAGTCATACAGTAAAACTGATGTGCATCAGCCCTATTAGATTACATTTTAACATACACTTAGTATTTAGTTCACACTTTTATAATGTCTATCGACATGATATCGTTTTCATTTGAGAATACAATACTATTCGGTCATTATTTATCTCATTCTGATATGTATCTACATATATATATATATATATATTTATGTGTGTGTGTGTGTATGTTGGTATCTCTTTCTGTTTGCTCGCTTAGTCTGTGACCTTTTCACTTGTGTGAACTTGTCTCCTTTAATAATGTGTATTCTCCTTATATTATATTATATATAATATGAGTGTTTGTTGACAGTCCGTTGCTTGGTGACATATATCCATATTATATGTGGGGTTGTTGACATGTCTGCTATATATTTTGCTATATATATATTTCGTTCACACAATTTGTGTGACTTACTTTACTTACTTACCACTTTGGTGTGAGACCATTTATTTTCGTCTCCTTGTGTTTGGAAAATAGAAGTATCATCGCAAACCTAGTGGTCTTCTGATTTCCGCCTTCTTGCGTCAGGACTATTAGATTCTCGACCAGTCCATAATAACAATTTAGTGACGAGTACATAACACATTCTGTCTGTCTGGATTCAACATAGAACTTGCCACCGAATTGCAGCAGTTCCAGTTGCCACGTTCCAAATAGCACACAGAGGTAGACAAGAAGATGAGTGAAGAGAATCAATAGAGTTTGACAAGTATAAGAGTGGACAGAATGGGTAATGGTAGAAGGGAATATGAAAGATTACAGAGACTGAATACATCTGCGCTGGCCTTTGACAACGATTTTGAGCCATGTCACCTATTGTCTCCAGCCATTGATTCCTAGAGTCCCGAGGGCCCCAACCCGGAAGTCTGCACCTCCCTCCCTACCTGACTCAGTTTAACTGTCAAGGATTTCATGAATTGATGAGGCCATGTTTTTGTTTGGCCACCATTTACTCTTTTCCAACCTGAACCTATATCAGCTAGTAATGCCCGTCGGGGGAGGCGATGGTTAGGCATGCGCAGCACGTGACCTAGCCATCTCAATCTATGTAAATTTATGGCCTCGTTGATTGATTTTCCCTGTTTGCCCAACACTCTACGCCCAACGTCAACCTTACTTACCTTATTATACCACCTAACGCGAGAAAGAGATCGTAGACATCTATGATCAAAAACAGTCAAACTTTTCATGTCTTCAACTCGTATTGGCCATGTTTCAGAGCCATAGAGAAGGATGAAGCAAACTGCTGAGCAGTACACACGTCCCTTGGTTGACAGCCGGATATCACGCCTACGCCAGAGATGGTGTAAGTCAGCGAAAGCAGCTCGAGCTTTTTGGATCCGTGCTGAAATTTCGTCGCCAATCAGTCCGTTGGTGCTGATACAACTACCCAAATGGTGAAGTGGTCAACATGTTCTATCACTTCACTCCCTATCATTAAGCTGGGAGCGTCGGTGGCCTAGTGGTAGAACACTGGCCAGCTACGCAAGTGCTATGTGGTTCGATCCTCTACCGATGCACTGTTAAACCTCACTTGCCCGGTAGTCAACGGGGTGAAGAGGGAACGTCGGGCTTGAGGCTGGCAACATTATCCCGTAAAAGCACCACTGCTACTGAAACTTTGAAGGGTTAACCTGGAGCCATATGTTCCACTGGGAACTGAAATGAATAAAAAAAATTTATCTCATTGGATTATTATTCTTACTATTTTTATTACTGTAATGGCCAAAACCAAAGTATTCTGGCTTTCACCAGTTCCACGCCATTCTATCTCTCTGATTCCAACGATTATTAGGTTTGTTTTTTAAATTTGTTTTTGTACTTTGAAGTTTCTGCAGCGATTGAATTGATTTTTGAGAGTAGGGCTGCTAGCGCAACACCCAACCTTCCCTCTTTTCCCAGGCTTAGGACCGTCTAGAAAACTCACGACCTGATAAATTAGGCGGGAAGTTTGGTTATTCTGAAAACTAGAAACCGACCGATGTGTTCTTCTCTGTAGCTTGCCGAATTTCGACGAGTCATACACGGTAAAAATTTATATTCCAAGATGATAAAAGCATGGTTTAAGATTGACAGAATTTGTGGTACTATTATGGCGTATGCTGCTGATATGATTCATGAGTGGTATATGAATAGACGTTTATAATCGTAAAAGTATCAAAAAACGGAGAGGTAGATTTGATGTTGCGTCAAGACATGTGAAACACGAAGAGAGGACAAAGAAACACAATACAAAGGGCAGAAGTGGCATAACATGGAAGATCTGTACAAAATGATGATTTACAGATAGGGTGTACGTTATTTCCCTATGTAGAAGTAGCAATTTCTAAATAAACATCCCGTTATCAAGTTCCTTCCACTGTTTCTCTATTGAACAACGATAATAACTGGTTCCTGAATAACAAAACTGGTCTAAAAATCCCGTCTGGTAGCCATACAGTCCAAAAGTTTCCCAGGTTCAAAATTCGTGTAGTGTACAACAACGTTAGTGTAAATCAAACGCAGTCCGAAAAATGGGGGAATATTCCCAACAAGTTTGGGTCAAAACTCTGTCTGCGAGAATCAAATAACAGAACAAAATGCGTTTTCAGCAGACACTCCAGGGTCAAGCAGTCAGTTCACGATGTAACCTTAATTTCGGTTAAATAAGATCGCAATTGTAAAGCGACACACTATTGTCAACAACATCACACAACAACGAATAGAAGCATTAAACTCAGGGTTTAACGAAAAACAAAAACTAATAGGAATTAAGTTAAGAAAAAGAGTTATGCAAATGTTAGTACAATGATTTACTGGTTAGCAGAAAAGGTTGATAATTGCAAAACAAGTTCAAATACTCAAATCAGTTTGAACACGATGAATAGATTGTTCATGAAGGGAATTTCATTCTGATACAACTACTGTCTCTTGTTATTCATCATCTGATCATAATATTAAACTATCTTTTTGTTTGTTTACATTTTTCATTCAGTGTCGAGAAGAAACTCTTGGATTTGATGAATTTTCCAAGTGTGTATCTGGTCATCCAAAAGCTCAATTGCTTATGTGTCTTGCAGCAGAAAATAAACAATTAGAACAATTAAGAATTGAAAATAAAACATTAAGAAATTCTCTAGATGAACATGACACTGCCTTAGATATGATTATGAGTAAATATCGTGGACAGGTGAGTTATAGTGTGAAACAATTTGCGCTATTATTATTGTTATTATTATCAAAGCACAGAAGTTGTATTATTATGGACGTGTGATACGTCACACGAAGTCTCAGTTTGTGCGAGTACTGGGATACTGACCAGACTCCCAGACTTAAGAGGTCAGCTCCTTAACCTTTGACTTGAAGTCTGGTCCATCAAGCAGTAGACCAATGGTTTCCGATGCCGATCTATCCTTTCAGATTCTGGAGCACATGTTCGGAGTCAGGGTTTTCCATTTTTCCTAGATAAACCTGCGTGTCTAAGAGTCCCGTTGTAAACACCAGACTTTCGCATTTAAGCTTTCACTTCTGTGAGGAACACATCCACTGCGAGTAAACAGCATTTCGAGAGGAGGACCGAAGTGTACCGACACTCAGCTGTGCCAGGTCGTTTATACGGCTATTCGTGCAAGAGAGAGACAGGTTTTCATTTTTCAAAAACTTTACCTATCTTAATCAAGTAGGTGAAAATTATAAATAAATGACATTAATTTCTAACGATACAATTTATAAAATAAGAAAAAATCTTGAATGTGAAATCAACGAGAGTTGTAAGATAGCTTAAAAAGACGAAATAATGAGATACTGATGACCATGAAACATGGATACTTCTAAACCATAGCAGTCGTTTTCAGGCTCCATCGCCTGAAGATGTTGCTTACTCACTGATGTAAACACTCAACTTCCAGGGAGCAGGTCCTGGAGTTGAATCCAACTCCACCTACTTCAACCTTAACACAATAAGTGGGGCTCGTAATAGCCTGGTATACGAAGAAATCCGTCTAGGTTTGAGAAGTTCTAACTATTTTTGTTATTCCCTTCTAGCAGCACATTACCATTTCACTTTTTTCTTCTGCAACTTTTTTTAAATCTGATTCCTTAATTGCCCTTAAGCTTTTATTTCCTCTTCACACAATCTCCTCTATATTACCTTTGGACACATGTCCAACATATCGTTTCCCATTCGAGTTCCACTTGAGCTTGGTGCGCGATGTCATTCAACGGTCTATCCAGCGTATGTCCATTTCATCCCTATTTCTTTCTGCACATTTGTTGTAGATTGATTCGTTGCCAGAGATAGTTCCTTGTTGTTTATCCCTTCCGACACATAGTTTTCAGCATCGAGAGAAGGAAGGCGTTGATGAAGCCTGCAAGAGCCGGCTGAAGATGCTTTTGCTAATGCGTTCACCAAGTCTTTGAACCGTGAAGAATCATTAACTTGACATCGGTATTAGAAATTCGTACTGTATTCCTTGTGCTGAGTGAGTGATGTAGATCTCACCACTGATTTTTAGGTAATTATTGGCTGTCTTGCCTTCTTAACCTTGACCAGCTTTAACATTGTCATTCCTGCCGTCTCTGTTTAGAGCGATGATGCCTTGACAAGTGAAGGAAGTGTAACTTCCTACAAATTTCTCCCGGTTATAGTGAGTGATGCTTGTCGTTGTTGTTGGTTGGTTGGTTATCTTCACTATCTCCGTGTTCACTAGAAGTACTGTTTTTACTGCTTCTTCTGGCAGCTTGTTGGTTTTCGTGTACAGATCTTCGAATTTGTGCAACATAAGGCATAAATAATCTGCGAATCTTCTTGTCGGTTTGACATATGCTTGTATTCTTGGTTTCCACGATCTCCCATGTGATTCCGTCGACTACAATCAGGAGGAATATCATAGGTGATAGTAGGTAACCTTATCTTACTCCTGGCTTCACTTCATAGGCTTCGGTAAGTTTTCCTTTGTGAATCACATGGGTATGTGATGTTGTCTTGTAGCTGTTGAATGAGGTTGATAATAGTTTCGTTGGGTTCTCCGTAGTGTTGAAGCAGCTGCCGAATCAACGCACGGGCAACTTTATCGAAGGTCTTTTCAAAGTTGAAGTAGAATGTCGACTGGCAGTATAGGTTCTGTTCGATGATGGTGCTTAACGTTCTAACTAATTAAATGTAAATACCAATTCATAAGTTTTGATTGACTTGCTGATTTCATCTTAGCTGTCGTAACTCCTTGCATAGAAGTATTAGACGATTATATGGATGGGTGGGTGAGAGTTGGTTAATTCTAAAGCTAACTTCATAAACGACTGTTAACCGCTGTATTTATATTTTTTCCATGCCGTTATTTCACAACCATGTGATTATTCAAGTATTGGTTTGTTTGGTTACAGGATTTCATCATCAGTTGACATTGGTTAGAGAACCATTGGAAAACCTGGGAGTACTGGACAGCTGTTTCGTCAGCCTAGTTTGGGACTCTTCATCAGTACTCACCCACCGGGGTTCGAACCAAGGACCTCCTGATTACAAGGCGAGCTCATAGACCATTGAGCCAGCGGGACCCGATCCAATGGCCCATGGGCCTGGGAGTACTGGACAGCTGTTTCGTCCTAGTTTAGTTTGAACCCCGTTGGGTGCATACCGATGGAGAGTCTGAAACTAGAACGAAACAACTGTCTAATACTCCCATCTGGTTGTCCAATGGTTCTCTAACCAATGTCAGCTCATGATGAAATCCTGTAACCAAACAAACCATGTGATTAATTGGTCGAGTTATTCACTCCCATGATTATTGAATCATCGGTTTTCCACTCATTGAATCTCCTCCACATAGAAAAATGCTTTATAATACTTTCATTTGGCTTATTGTAAATGAAGTGATATCTTTACTCTTACTGTTTTGTTCTTTGTATACTCACGTTTCTTTATCTTTTTGTAGATCTCTAAACTGTTAAGAACTAATCAAGTAGAACAATTTGTTCAGTCAATGATGATCCCTAAACCTAGTGACATTACATATCAGAATATTCCTTGCCCAACTAAACCCACTGAATCTCAGTCTGTATCCCATAAATCAAAATCAGTCAAAAGTATTCCTGAAGGATCCTGTAAAGTTGAAGAAAGTAAAGATGCTTTAGTACAATCACTAACAGAACAACTGACTACAGTTGCTTCTATAGTTCGTGAAGTCACTGATCAAGGTGATGCATATGCTGCAGAATTAGAAGAAGAACTGCATCGATTACGATCTGAAAATGCTGGTCTCCGAGAACTATTAATGATCTCTTCTGATCATTGTCCTGACAATAATATCAGTGATTCAGTTCACCTACCACCAGTAAATTTATCATCATCATCGTCAAATAAAGATCCTTTACAACATGAATCAATGCTATCGTATCCAACACGAGGTTATAATTTTCTTAGTGATGATGATTCTAATTCATCAAGGCGTTTAACATGTATTGATGATCATTCATTAAGAGGTGGTGAAATCAATAGAAATTCTTACTTATATGATGATATCTCATGTAGGGATTCTGTTCGAGGTGACAGTAGTTTCATCAATGATCATAACACAGATCATTCAATTATAGATAGTGGCGATGAAGATGTTAGTACAGTATGTAGTGGTAATAACAGTAGTGATGAATCTCAAACGCCATATCCATTGTATTGTCGGGATGAATTGAATAATCCTGATGAGTATACTTGATGTATGATGATGATGATGAATGTAAATCTCTCCTTGAAGTTAATATTATAAATTTATCTGTCTGCCTACCCACCTACTTACCTACTTGATAGATATGCGCATATACACCTATAGTTGTGTATTTAAAATGTAAACTTGAATCTTTTGGTTAGACAATTAGTTTCTGTTTTAAAGGTTAGTGAAGTGAAGTTTTGTATAATCCCCTCAAGCGTAGTGCGTGTGTCTGTGTGTGTGTGTGTCTGTGGTGCTTAGCTCACCATATAGGGTGCTGTATTTTTCCTTACTACTACTAATACTACTAATAATAATAACAGTAGTAACATTTCAACAGGATGAATCCATCTTGCCTTCTATATTCTTTCTTTGAGTTTTTTTCTAATATGTAAAGAAAGAAGAACAAGTATATAATTATTGTTTAAAGTGTTTTTAAATTCAATCTACTTTTCAATCAACTCATGAATTATATTATTATTACTAATATCATTAATATTATTAATATTGTTATTTTAAAATGCTTCAATATATGTCCGGTTATAATTTTTGTTTGGAATTTAAAAGCAACCAATCGATAATTTAGTATTGTTGTGTGACAGACAGATTGAAACACAACTGTTGACTTGTGAGATTGACCAAAGGAAAAGAAAATACAATTAATTATAAAATGTATTTTATGATTACTTAATTTGTGTGTACAACCATTTGTAAGTTGACAAGATGTGTTGAAATGTTGATATGACATAAGACATTTCTGTCTAAATCATTGACAATTACAACTGTATACAATTCTGTTGAGTGAATAAATAAATATATTTATTCAGTTGTGTTTAATTTATATCAACTTCGACCATGGAGTGATATCAGTTAGTGAACCATTAATAACCAGGAAGTCATAGTCCGGGGTTCTTCGGCAGTACTCACCCATCGTCGAATCAGGGGTTGCACCCAGGACGTTCCTGTTAGAAGGCTGGTCGTTAGGCCAATCAGCCACATGGATCTGATTCGATACTCCATGAATTCCAACTTCTAACGATTTGTGGCTTTAGCGCGACTGGCATCAGTCAATAGCATCGGCGAGTATTTGTTCCCCTGCCCTACCTGATGGGTCTCGCTGGTAATAATTTCTCTGTGGAACTTCAGGCAACTTCGACCTGCAACCAGTCATTAGTGAGCGTCACATTAATGACATATAGTGATAACGGTCGCGCTATGTGTACTATTAAGAATTGGTTGAAGTTAGAATTGATAGATCATCGACTTCATCTCAGTGGGTGGATGGGTAATTAGCCTGGCCTGTGTGATACGGGTTCGATGCCTAGTGGTGGGATCTGTTTGACATTCCTGTTCGTTCCAAGTGGAGCAAAAGGGCTTCAAGCTATGACGTTTCAGTGGCAGTAGTGTTTTTTTTACGGGGTAAGGTTGCCAGCTTCACGCTCAACTTTCCCCCTTTGTCGACTTCACAACTGGTTAAGGAAGGTAAAGGTATGTGTGTCGGCTAGACAGTGAACCACGGACCACATGCACGTGCACAAACCACCAGTTCACTATGAGCATCCAACGGGTTTCGAAGCCAGGATCTTAAGGTTACAGGGTGAGCTCGTATAGCATTTTGTGACTGGGACGGAAGTAAATGTCCCATGAATTCCAGCTCCTACCGATTCGTGTTTTTAGTGTGACCACTAACCAATGACATCGGCGAGTATATATATATATTATTATAATATAAATAATAAAGTAAAAATTGCGGATAAAGAAAGGTTGATATTACATTATTAGAAAAATAGGACAAGGGAAGTAGAAAAAATGTTTTCAAACATTCCTAAGATTATGTCCATAAATGCAGGGAAAGAAGGTTGAACATCTGATATTTTTTCTGTACTCAAAATTATCGTTTCTCTAATCAATCACGAAGGCTTTAGGAATATAATGGAGGCAGATATGCACTGACCTTCACTAAGCTTAATTATATCCGTCTGCTACGTTTTGGTAATGTTATAGGATAATGTTCTTGAACTCTTCTGAACAGAAATTGTGTCATTGGACGGATAGGGCTAACTCTCTACGGAAGCAAATTAACTAGCCTACATACATTTTTATCTACGAAGCTTGGCAGATATTTCTTTCTGGTCGAGTGTCACTTTTTCCATTTCAAAGTCTTCGAATATTAACGAGAAGGTAGTGGAAATTCTCTTGCGATGGTAGGATGTTCAGTTGTAGAATTTTACTAGTTGTATACTCCGTGTTAGTTATTTCTCTGAATTGATCTACTCGAGGTTCAATCAATCCAACTTCATGGGTCTACATCAAGAAAATGTTTTGCTGTGTAGGACTAGATGACTACATAAAGTATGATTTATGCTGTTTGTGTCAACAGTGTGCTTGAAGAGCATCAGTTGACAGAAGAACTCAGTTGTTCACATTAAAGGTATCTCATTAAATGCAGGAGTGAAGAAAGTAACATCGTTGTAATGGTGTGAAATATCCCCATATCATGAATTAACAGTCAATCTGAACAAAGAATATTCTTTTCAATAAATTCTCTTGAAGTTCTTATGATTATAAAACATAATATTATTCGTTACAATAATGGTTAATTATGCTACAAATACATTTTTACGTATAATAACATAAGAGTTATATGATGATAAAAAAATCGCTGAACAAAAATAACAACTGTGTTTTTACTTATGAATAAATGGGTATTTTTTGTCAGTGAGTCCCAGGTTCGAACCCTACCCCACCTACTTCAACCTCGGCTACTGAGTAGTATCACCAGCACTCACATAATAAGTGTAGCTCATAACCTGGAACATGTGAAACGCGTTACGGGAACTGAGTTTGAACGATAAACGTATCACGGATCATCATTTAAATTATTAGATTCCTCCATGAACCGATATCAATTAGAGAGAGATCACTGGAAAGCTGTTTCATCCTACTTTGGGACCCACAACTGCAACAGGGTTCCAATCTTGAACCTTCCATTATTCGAATAATAATGGGTTGAAGCTTCAATAAGCGGTTATAACCAGTGGTGTATACCAATTCATGGTAAAATGAGTGCTTATCGAAGGCACTGATTGAGGGTAACGCTATATTCCAAAATGACATAATTTAGAATTCATGGGTCTTTGGGTTCTAGCCATAGTGACTGAATAGTAAACGAACTTGGTAAAGTAACCTGAAAGTCTCTGGTTCGACCCCCTGTTTGGGTTGTGTGTTCGCACTGATGAAGAGTTTCAAATAAGAATGAGATGGCTATCCAATGTTCCCTGGATTTCAGTGATCTCTTCAACTGCTATTGATTCTTGAAGAACATCTAACAACTGAGATTAATTCAAATCCCATGATCTGAATGATCATCATTTAGGTAAACTCAGTTGACAGACCAGTTAGATAGAAGAAATAATCCTTTCTTCATCCTATCCATTAATAAGAATAATAACTTTTTTAAATACTCCTGAGGGAGTATACCAGTTTTATCACTTCTCGACAAACACTGAAGGTAAACAACCCTTAGAATAATGTCCTAAACTCTGAACATTTGTGTTCATTTTCGGAGAGCAACGAAAATTATCACTGAGTATTCTAATTTATTCAGTGGTGTTTCATCTTTATATTCCGGGAATAATAAAACATACTTAACCCTCATTTAGTATTTGCGTATCATATTGCCTGTACATACAGGTCTACTGAAGCTTGAAGATTGTTCTACAGTTTGGATTGTCAAGTGAGATAGTTCACTTTTGCGAGTAAATAATTTTACTAAATTCGCATACGGGTAGGAAATATCGAATTTGCATTTATTATTTTAAGTTTATAATACTATTTGATGTTTTTTATGCATTTTTAATAACTTCCATCACATACTTTAGATTTAGACAAGTCATGAAACCAGATAACATCAGTTCACCACACAGCTCGATAGCTGGTCAACTAGCTTGGTATTGCAAACTTGACTCATAGAATTTAGTCTGCACCAACACCATGGTCTTTAGTGATGACATTGGCTATTCCACTACTGTCCTACAAGAAGTCAATCGTAAGCCCGGATAGCTCAGTAATAACACCCCTAACTGTAACACTGAATGACGCGGGTTCAACTTTTAGAGGGGATATGAGCTCCTTTAAGTATGGAGATATCTCTTGCTGATAAATGCCAACAAGTATAATACCTTGGTCCTAGGCTTCCTACAGATTGCCTCCAACCATTTAACAGATATATCACTCGCTCGACTTCTGAGATGTAGCACGCAGCTAGTAATTTGGAAGACACTGGCTGGAATCCTTACATGATCCACACTTTTGCCTCACCCTTGAATCAGCATTTATTACACTTATTGAATTTACTAAATTCGTTCGCTGGCGTTATTATCTAGTATCATACACTAGATACCATCTACTAGTGGAAGCTTGAATATGTTTGGTATTCAGGGTTTCTTAGTGGAGACAAAAAAACTTTTTCGAGCGAAATTCATACACTAGATATCTAGTCTAAGTTATAATTAGCCTGTTTCATTTGTCAGCTTCCAAAAACACTTTCTGTCAGCATACGCTTATGATAAAATTTGCTTCTGAGTGCGTAGAACTCGTAATATACTTTCCAAGTACGTTAATCTAAAATTAATTCAGTGCAGTCTAGAAATTAAATCATCCTTGGGGTTGTGAATGAGAGTTATGGGGTAGATTGTTATAACTGTAGGGAATTCAAGGAAGACGTTTTCACCTTGTTCTGTCTGCGCCTGAACTAATCTGCCTATCTGCTTGTCGTACCTTCCGATTTAGTAAAGCACGCAAATATCAAAAGACAAAGGCTGGACTGTGACTGTGTATTGAAGTGCAACAACGACAAAGAAAACCATGGTATTTATACATTTTACAACAATATGGACAGCTAACAGCATTTGAAATAATTTATCTTAATAGCCAATAACAAAGTGCGTGAGAGATGATAATATACCATATGTGCGAGATTTGATAGTCAATAACAAAATGTGTGGGAATGATAATATACCATATATACAAATTACAGTCACCAAAATGTGTGGGAATGATAATATACCATATATACAAGATTAGCAGTCACTACCAAAATGTGTGAGAATGATAATATACCATATATACAAGATTAACAGTAAATACCAAAATGTGTGAGAATGATAACATACCATATATGCAAGATTAAACAGTCAATACCAAAATATGTGGGATCCTATCACCTCCCCCCGTAAAGAGTGTAGGACTTGCTTTTTGGATCTATTTGAAAAGGTTTCGGAGCTCTTCTTTGTCGAGTTGACCTTCGCATGGTACTGGATAGAGTGTGATCTGTGTCCCGGGCTTCCGGCTGCGGAAGATTAAATGTATCTACTAATACTTCTAACGTGAGGTCTCGTCTCCCATTGTCAGGTCTATCTGACGCATCTCGTATATGATTCGTGTGTCTGACACATAACTGTCCTTCTACATTCACTTTGTATAAAACCCTTCCTTTCTGCCCCACTATTTGTCCTCGAATCCATCTCGGAGGTGAATAGCGAAAATCTCGTACATAAACTTGCTGATACAATTTGAAAACTCGACGTTTAGCTCCGTGATGGCGATTGAATTGGTTTTCCATTTTTGTATTTCTGCAGCCCTGCTTTACTTGCCTAGGCTTAATTGAGTCGAGGGCAGTTCTGATCTTTCGGCCAAATATAATTTCCGCTGGGGATAACTGATTTGGGGCGGAAGGATTTGGCGTCGTACGATAATGCAGCAAGAATCTATCCAAAATTTCTTCTGTTGTTCCCTCCCCCTTCGCTTTTGCATAAGCACGCTTAAAGGTGTCGACGAAACGTTCAGCCTGTCCATTCGATTGGGGATGATACGGGGGGCTACGAATATGCTGGATGCCAAACAGTTTGCAGAAATCTGAGAACAGTGATGAGGTGAACTGCGATCCATTATCGGACACCAGAACATCAGGCATACCAAAACGACAGAATAGTTGACGTAGGTGGGACACTGTTGCAATTGATGTGGCAGAATGCATAGGAAATATCTCTGGC